TATGGATACTGGAAATTTAGACTTTCCTTAAATGATTGATGGCACACAGAATCTAATAAGTCGGCAACAAGAGAGTACCAGTGCTGAATTTACCAATGGGTTGGCATTTTGTAAACAGTGCAATGAATACAAAAATGGACACAGCTCTTGATTCACTGGCTTGGTAACCAATGGAATGATACATAGAGTTTACTTGGCAATCACAGGTCTTCACAAAGCATTTAACCATAAAACAAATAAATTTTATAAACTTCTTTACACAGTAAAGAGTTGTCGGTAATATGTACCGGAGGTGCATGTATTAAGACACAGTCTGAATGACAGTTACTGCTTACATGTTGTACACATTTCCTTTTATTGAATATACTGGTACATGTACATGTACAAGGTACATGTGTTTCCTTTTGCATGTGCAGCAATGCAAACAAGTCACGTTTTACTGTTTACGGTTACAATTGTTACATTTTCTGTCTAATGTACCGGTACATGTACAGTGTATTGTGTGCACATGTCTGGGAGGTAAGGTTGGTACAATGACACTTTCCTCACTCTCAAAAACAGCAACCTTGGTTGGAATCTCACCCAGGGTTGGCACATGAATTACGGTTCTTAATAACAATAGTAACTGGGATTATTGAGGTACATACGTACCGGTACATGGGCCTCGGCATACGCACATGTCTCTTTCCGGTTAATAATATAGTGATCATTTTCGTAAATTAATCTACATGTACAAATGTATAGCAACAGATGACACAGCATTTTAAAAACATCAGTGATAAATAACCATCATCAATTGAAGTTATGTCAACAAGACATTCATGATAATTTATCACCACTCTAGGAGGCATGGGTGTCAATTCAAAGTGTGGGGGGCATCGTATTGTTTGGCCCCTCCCCCCTTCATTTCTTCCGGACCCTGAATAAAATTTACCTGGAGGGAAGTAGGCCTACATGTACATTTGATTCATTTTCCAGATTAGCTGTTTATATGTGCCAAATTCTTTCCTCTTTAGGGGGAAAAATTGGGAATGATGAGCAAAAGGGTTCCAAACTTACATAGGCCTACATTTTCAAAGAAAAAATATTATTCTTAAAATGAAATAATTGTACAATGAAGCATAAGTTGCTTAAAAATACTTAAAGCAGTCAGAAATTGCCTCAGATCACACAACAGAAATTTTCCAGGGCCCTTAAGCTGGCCCAGGATCCCATGCCATTTGGGCTTTGTGCTTCGCTCCGCGCTTGCATTAGTTCTTATCAAGGTTATGTCCCCCCCCCTTTTGAAAGCAATTGATGCCCATGCCAGTAAGACACACATACACGTACGAACATTGCAGGCTGATTTCTGGGAGCCACCGACTGAAAACGTGGGACCTAATGTGCTTACTATTTGATTCCGCAACATAGTCCTGACCAACCCACATGTAGGCCTAACACACAGTACCCAAAGATTTTCTGAATGCCAACAGGGAATCTCTGTGAACGTGATCTGTGTCGCTCATGAGGGGACCCGACATATTTGAAATTACCAGCAATTACTCCAGGGGGATCATGTCAATGGTTCTGGCCAGGCAGATTTAATCAGAAATGTCGTATCTGATTAGCTGACATGGTGGGCCAGCAGCAAAGATCAAAGTTATGCCATGGCTATAAACAAGCAGAGTCTCAATGCTCCAGCTTCATCCGTCGACTAGCACCGGAGCAAGATTAGAAGTTGTGTAAAAATCATGTTTCAGGCTAACTTTTTCCCCTGAAAAAGTTCACCTGGGCAAAGAAAAACAAGGTAAATTAAATAATTGCATGGCAACCGTTGAATAAGGGAATCTTTTCCCCTTTACCTTCACAGCAAAGCCTCAGAAATCTGGCATTCAGGCAGGCACAAGGCCAGTACACTGAACATGTGTTCACACAGTATCCAGTACATGAATTTATACATGTACCATGCTTGCATATATATACATGTACACCATCCTTTCACATGTAGATTTATATTTGAGTACCTGCAATTTTTCACAAGAAACTGACCAATGAACTGTGAAGGGTAAAATGCTGGAAAGTGTGTACATGTACATGTACATGTAAGTGAACATCATTTGCTAGTTTATGACAAAGAAAGAAAGAACTGACAAAATAAAAAGAATGGAATTCATGCTCTGAAGTAATTGGCTGTGGTCTAAGTGATACCACGGAGCTATCAAACACAAGGAGTACGAACAAAGTCCCCACAGACCGTAATCCGATTAACTGCTCTGGTCGGTTCCATAGGCAAGGCACAGTTACCGGCCCCAGTGTCGAAGACCCTTAGACATTTTTTGTACACAGTGTACACCGCCAGGTAGCTGGTAACCCACATACTCGCTGTGTTTTGCTTCTGCATACAGGAGGAAATAAATGGTGGAAAAGATGCATGGAGAGGATGCGCAGTTCTCTTCAGTAGTCAGCGAGTGATCACTCCAGATGCGCTTGAAAATTCCAAATCAACGGAGGTTATTTGGCAAAAGTCAGACATTTTTAAAGTCAGTTACATGTACGCCATTTTTCCAGTGGTAGAGAACAAATACCCAAAATATGAACTGCGACATTTATACCATAAGTCGCAATCCTAGTGGTTCCTACGGTTAAAAGAATGTTTGACAACGTGATGAGGTTTCATGCCGAGACAGTTGTGGACAATGACAGAAAGGACAACGAATCTTCCCATGTTTTTGTGTGTTTCTTTATTTTCCTCTGGACCAGCGACATTCTCTCAGTTTTCTTGTGCGTATTTTTTTGGGAGTTTGTATTAGCTAGTATTTCTGTTTATTGTTAAGAGAGACGTTTTTGGAATGTAAAGACGTAACGATACTTTCATTGTCATTGGAATATCAGAACAATCACTAAAATTATTGAAATTTAAGACGGTTTCCGTCTCAAGGAGGCCATGTTGAGCATTTGCAAAGGATCATGGTACCCATGATCCTTTGCAAATGCAACTCCAAGAATTCCTTGTAGCCCACAAGCGGCGCAAAATTTGTTTTGTCCTTGCAGCACGTGCAGGGCTTGCGGTGGCCATCATTGACCCTTTTGATGTGCTGACTCCTTGTGTTTAATAGCTCCATGGTGATACATGCACTGCTGTTCATCTGCATCAGGTGTTACATTACAGCACTATGATATAGTACAGTACTGCGTAATGAGCAAGTACATGTACATGTACATGTACATGTAATTGGTAACATCCACTGATGTTAGGAACTCCTTCAGTTTTTGTAGCCGCACAGACGTCATAAAATACCTGTGCAGAATTGTACATGCCAGGGAGTGTTCTTGCATGAATGCATTGATCTGAAATAACTTTCACAATGGAGAGGGAAACAACTTGAAATAATAGTTTGAAGGACTTGGGAATGAATAGCAATGCAGGTTGTCTCGACAACTGCCAGTAGGCAGCTTTTTTAAACCGGTGGCATTGAAGTATGCAAACAAATTATATGTTGCTACTGCTGGACACAAAAGAGTCAAGCTGTAATATTTTGCAAGGAGTGACAAGGATCTCGGAGTGAATTGAAAAGTGTCGTCATGGGAAAGTCAGAGGGCCTGTTTGTTTCACACAGATCAGAATCTCGATCAGTAATCCGTCGTTGGTTCACTGACACCAGAGAACGTACGCCCCAATGGATGAAGCAAACCAGAGTTGGGTCCACTGATTGAGATCCAGATTCTCGCGAAGCTAACAGGCCCGGAGTTAAAGTTATCCAGAGGGAAGGAGGCCAATCAGATTACATGTACATTCTGTATGTATTTGTACCCCTGCATACATGTACATGTACATGTTCCTTCCTCTACACTAAATTGGACCCAACTTTGTTTATGATTTGCCAGTATGATGCACCAGCACTGACGGTACACCATCTTTAACCCTAACAATATTCTAAAGTTACAGTAGAAACAGAAAATGGCTACTAAATATGGGTCTAAGGAACAAGTTTGTTTCAAGAGGGGAATTAGATACTTGGGGGGGAGGGGGTGACACCACAAAATTTAAAAGAAACTTCAATCGCAATCTGTATTTCTGGTATGTTTTCTGGTCAAGCAATCCGATTTCCTTGTGCAAACTGATTAAATCTGTACTGGCACTGTTGGGAATAACAACTGGTCCAATTAAATCAATTCCTTGAACTGCTGGAGTTACGGTAAAGTCAGATTTGTAAGCCATACATGTAGCTCGTCTTCGTGGCACGTACCACTCCAAAGCATTGCCTCAGAATGTACAAAAGAGAGCACTATGGTAAAAAAACATCATACAAATCTTGTACTCTCATGAACTAAAAAGAGTCGGCATTTGCGCATGGTTTTCTATTTAATTGTGAAAAATGGCCTTTGTACGGTAGATCTACCAGTACATTGTACCTTGTTTTAAACATTTTTGGCCAAAAATAATTTTTGTGCCTAGAGTTGGTTCACTGAGAAAAAAAATGACCCACCCCAAATGGTTAACTATGAGATACATCTTTTTAAAACTAACTGATGAGAAATGAGAAGTGGCAAAATTTGGTGAAGCACCACTGCATCAGCGCATCCAGGTACGCACTGTTAGAATATATAACAGGTACCCGGTACATGTACCGGTACACTGTATGTAGTAAAAACATGATTTTATTGCAAATTCCAAGGAGATCAATGTACCTGGCACCTGAAGGCCTTTAGGTGGGTTGGAAATCTCATTTTGAAATGTGAATATTAAACCACACATCGTCCACTTAATTTCGATTTCAACTGTACTTTGGGAGAGCTGCAGTCAAATACCCATTCTTGAACCAAATTAAATGTACATGTACATACATGTTACATTGTGCGTACAGGTACATGAACTACATGTACATGTACAATGTGCGAATGACCATTACACAGGTGCATTATCTTAAGGGCAAACAAACATGTAGTTACCAGTACTTCCTACAAATCATGGAAGAAGTATGTCCCCAAATGCTCAAAACGGTTCCCAAGTCCACTATTACCTGGAGGTTGCACGCCTCATTTTCATCCTTCCAAAAACGAGGCTGAAGCGTGAACAGCTGCTCCGTGTCCGGAGGGAGAAAATACGTCATTCCATTCTGGGTATCTTGGACTCCCTCTGTGTTGTCGCTTTCAACCAGGTAGTATCGATAAGAGCTCATTGTGCCGGATTCAAGGTGTCCAAGAAGCAATGTTGACCCTCAATATGCATGTATACAGGACAGAGATTCACACGGAAACTGCCCAACAACTGATTTGCTGATTCTGAAAGTACCATGTACATGTACATTCACGTGTGCCTTTTCTATGCCTTTGCGACTTATGAAGTTTGCTTGTTCAGTTGTTTGTTTGTCTGTTTTATATGTTGTCTACATTTTTTATGATGCACCCCATGGCTTTAAAAGCCTTGAAAAACAAGGTTCCATAACATACTTCCAGGATTGTTGAAAAGTTAACCATCAATGGCAAACAAATTGTTTCAAACAATACTGTGAAAAGAATTCTTGAGACAAGAGCTGCTCAGTCAGATCCAGGAGAGCTTCTTAGTGAGATGGGAGGGCCTGAGATCAAAAGTACATCAGATTCAGCAAGAATCTCTAAAGAAAACGCATCATAAATTATTCATCCATGTTAAAACATGCCCAGGTCCAATGTTTGTCAGCGTGAGGAAAGAGCATGGGAAGGAATACATTACAAAGTACAGGGTATTTCAGTCCCTGAGAACTAATTAGAAGACAGTCCCAAGATAATCCTTCCTTCCAATCTTCTGACACCCAGGGCCATTTTTCCTGCAGATGGCGTTGCTCCTGGGATGAGTTGAAGAGTGTAGGTATCATTCACAAGCACGGATCTGTTTCCCACGTAGCAGGCGAGAACATCGACGACAGGACTTGAAGTGGTTTGCTGTTGCTCAACAACTGCTCGGGAGCTGACTCAATTCCAATGTTGTACCTCTGCTCATACCACTGCCCAAACTCAAAGCACAATTATTGCAAAGTGTTAGGCTACACTGCACGGCTCAGGGGGGCTGGCCCACTTCCAAAATGTGCATTGTTATTTGGAGAAAAGTGTACGTGTAGGTTATTGTCCTTCAAGTTGAACCAGTTAGCTGCCTGATTATCCCATGCATTTGTAAAAAGTGGTACCGTGATTGGCATGTCCTACATATGAAAATGTCTCCGAGCAAAGCTTAGAGAAAAAAAAAGAACTACTGCTGCAGTGCAAGATTGTTACAAAAGCAAGGTACTGTACATGTACTGGTATGACACAGGAACTTGAAACGAAGGCCAAAGTTGACATTCTCTACCTGTGATGTCATTCATTGTTGTTCAAAAGAGCCGGCTTCTGTTTCAATAATATCCCACATGTACCAAACAAAGAGTGCACTAAACGTTTACCAGAGATCTATACCAATATTCGATATACATGTACCACGTAACAAGAAATTCAGTGAAATTAAAAAAAGCAATTTGTTAGACAAATATTAAGGTAAAAAGAACAACCAAAAAAAAACCACTATTATAATTCTTAAACAAATTATCACAGCTCTAGATCGGTTTATTTAATATGTAAACAAGTAATGGATCCTATTGAAATTTCATGTATGCTACTGAACAAAGTCCATACATGTATGTAGATCAGTTACCATCAGGCGTTACTTTGTATGGTGTGCATCATACAAGCCACTAGCTACATGGTACACATAACAGAAACATGCACTGGACATTCAGCAATCAGCTCTACAATGTACAGTACACTTGTGCACACATTAGTACATGTATGAATGTGTTACAATACCTTCACCTACGCTACCCGTACACTTATTTTTAATGAAAAATGATGAGAAAGGGTCAGTTTTCCATTCTTAGAAAAATCTGTTACAAGTAGTTTTTCCATTCTTAGAAAATCTTTCATCAATTGATACTTTTTACATGTACAGTAGAGGGGACTACTGGTGTTTTGGTGGTGTCACAAAACGAACCCCTCAGCAAAAGAGCATTTATAAGAAAACTTTTTAAACGTACCACTTCAAAAATACCTACCAACAAAGGTTTGAAGGAACATCGGCCATTTCTATTGTCAAGACCAGCTGTTTAACATGATAAACAAGTAAACAGTGGAACTATGTAGGCCCTACTACATGTAAATGTATTGTACATGTACAAAGAGCTAGGGAGACACTTCTGTTCTGCCTTAGATGCCATCAGGCTTTAGATGACGTCAAGCTTTGGTTCAGGAATATAAAAATGTTCATTAGCATAGATACCAAATTGTTGAAGTTTCTCTTTTCTTAATAAGCCTAGTGCTTCAAAGGACTGTTCTACACTGTACAAATACATGTATGGTCTAGATGGTGAATGGGATATTTTCTTGTGGAGTCCAAACTGTGTACGGTTCCAAGAAGAACTGACTTAACGTTTTGATTTTTTTTCTCTCTCTCTGTAAGTGATTAATTGCTAAAAAACGGGCAGAAGACCATGACTGTGGACTAGTAAATTGGTGGAGTTTGAAGTACATCATGAACAGGTATTCTAGTCGGCACTTCAAAACAAGAGAAAGGTTACAAAATGAGCATTTACGTACTAGGGTAATACCACTTTGGCTATTGTTTACAGTACTGCCAGCTGGAACCCTGGTGCTTGATGTAAAAAGTGTACAGTTTTTCTTTTCAATTACAAGTTGATGTCAATATACTGTACTGCAGTTGACCAAAATGCAACTGGGAAGATACACAAATACTAAGGCAACTCCCAGCTAGTCAGGAACACATGGGAAGTATTTTTACGAACCATAAGGCTATAAGGTTTTACACGCTGACGTTTTTAAAACCTCACCACACGGTACATGTTTATGTATAAATGTACAATACACGTGAACCAAGTTGTATGGTCAGGCATGTGCAGTGCACTAGTAATGTACATGTATACATTGTTCGGGATGCAACTAGCCCACGTTGGACACCAGTTTTCATTACACTAATCCCTCCGCAATGTAGTACAGTCAGGGAGTCCACCAGGGCTAGGGGTGTAACTAACGTTAACAGCAGTGTAGTCGCCATGTCCCTTATTTCTTCACTTACTTTGAAAATCAATCAAACTTGACAATACATGTACATGTAGGTCGCCAATTTAGGGACTTGGGATCTATATCGTCATTGCCATGTGCATCTTCCACACCTTGACATAAAGTGTGTTCCTCAAATTGATTACTACTGGTAGTTTCAAATATTTATGTTTACTACTGGAGCAGCAAGGGAAAAGTAGTCATGGCATTTGACGTGTCACACCCTGACAAATTGCTGGGCCAATATTTCAACTGCATATCGGTACATGTACACGCTCAACATGTACATGTAGGAATGCCCTTACTTTTCCCCTTGCTAGGTACACGTACATGTATATGTCGGTGTACTTTAAAAACGGGGCTTTTAACTTGCAAGTGGAACCAGCATCGTTGCCAGCTTCAGGCATTATGGGGGCCACAGTATCAGGTAAGGGGGACACATGCATACATGTACATGTTCATCACAGGAACAAAATACTGTATATTTTTCATGCTTATGCTTTTTATTGACGGGGGGGGCAGCTTACCGCCAGAGGGACCTGGTCCCCTGCCCCCCTTGCGACGGGCCCGGTGGAACAGTTTGTAGTTCCGTGTACATGCAGATGTAAACGGAAAAAATTATTTTTCCACTGCAGGAAGAGGTACATGTACATGTATACACATACAGTATGTAGGTTTAATCAGAAAAGAATTCCAAATGTACTGAACCCATTTTCTTCACTAACATTCCTATTGATCTTAAGCAGGCGCTCCTTTAACATGTTGGTGTGACACTTGAAAATTGTGGTGCCATGGTCAAAAAGAACTCTGGAAAGAGTTGCACATGTGGACATCATCCCCGCACTGGTTTATCGGCCATCAAAGAGCGATTAAGTAAAATTTAGAAAAGTATGGAACGATTTCTGAAGCAAACACTTAGAGTTTTTTAGCCGTCTCATAGGGTTTTTACATTCACATGTACTGTAGGGTCTCAAGAGATGTCCAGGTATGTCACTCTTTCCAGGATTCTTCCTACATGTCCTAGCTGATTTCAGAATTTCGCTAAGAATTTGCCTACGGCGCTGCCAAAAAAGAGCTTCATTTATCAAAATTGTACAAGGTAATTCAACAGGTTGTACCATACGGGGGCCGGAAAAGGCCCTTGCTGGCTCTCAGTTAGCCGTTACCCAAGTTCTTGGGCTGTAGACACCACAGACTCAACAGACGAAAAGTGAACACGTAATATTCTCAGACTCGCCCCATGACTGACAGTTCCCGACTGTGAAGTTGTTTAATTCACAGACATATTGTGAAGTACGTAATGAAAGAGGGATTGTATAATATTTATTTTCAATGTATATCTTACCACGTCTGGACCATCGTCTGAGTCATATTCCTTTATTGACAGTTGTCCGTAGCTACCCAGCTGGTTACCCCATCGAGTCTCCAATCTACGGGCCAAGTCGCGGCGTCCTCGAAGTTCTCGACCGTCTGACCAACTCATAGTTTATTTTCATTTGGGCAACAGATCATCCCTCATGATAAACCACTACAGCACACTTGTCATCTTAATCTTAATGATACTTCACATTTCTATCATATACAAGCCAGTAACTAACTTTATTACGCTTTGTACCTTCGCTTTGCGGCGCACGACCGTCATGACCGTAAACATAAGCTCCGTACCGCGTGAGTGAACTAAAATGTGAGCATATTAGTCAAGCGCCCTCTATCATCCTCCCCCAAAAAAGTTTGGGTTTTTTATATTGTTTTCTCATATTTCCATCGAACGGCACTAGCATTATGTATTAATTTATATTTTGGACATTCCTTTTTCTCGTACGTATATTGGGCAAACCGGTACACGAGGCAGCACTTGCGGCCACCTCGCAAAAATGTTCAGTTTTTTATATTACCTTTTATGACCTTTCTGGGGCGAGAGGCTACATTGGTGGCCTTCTCACGCATTTGTGTTGGAAGGGTAGACAACCAAAAACGTAGAGTTATATACATGTATAAATCACTTTGTTCTCGTTTTTTTTTGGGGGGGCGTGACCCCCTTTGCCCCCTCCCCTGATTCGCCTTTGAATAATTTTTTACAGTGAAGTTAGTGAACACTTCCGTGACTGTCTGCACAATCCATCATTTGCAATTCGATTCAAAAAGTAACTCATGATTTTTCGTTGCAAAGCATACTTAGTTTGAAGAAAGTTATGGGACTAAACTCTCTGTGAAATCAGTCTTTCTAGAAAGTTGTCATTTTGAAGAAAACAGTGAAAGAAGGCCATAACAAACGATGCGTCGAAGTCATAGCTCTGTAGTCGAAAGACGCATCAGTCCTTTGGGAAAATTGCCCTTAGAAGCATACACGCAAGCGTTGACAATTTTTATGGAATAAACGGGAAAGCATGTCTGAGATGCTGGATTCACGGGCACAATTCAAAACATGACTTAGCAACTGAAATTGAAATCCTAAAATATTGTTTTTCTCGGAACATAAAGTATTTACCGAGCTGAAATTGTATCTTTTTTTTCGTCAGGCACCTTCTTTAGATTTTCAGTAATTTTGTTGCCTCAAAGGAACACAGTGCACAAACTTTGACAAATAATGCACTTAATCTTTAACGTCTGAAGGTATTGTTTCCGATCAAACACTCATGAACATTTCACAATCATGAACATTTCACAATCGCCCAACAATCCGAAAGCACTTCGATTTCGAAAGTCCACCGGTCGGTAAGTACACTTCCCTTAAATTACACTGCAATAAAGTGACATGTCCAACTTCATTTCGATTGATGATTTCATATTCGCCAAAGGATCAAACTTTTTCCGGTATCATAGCTTTTTCAAATCGTGGAATTTTCGTGGTCAGTACTCTTTTTGTCTTTTCCTATTATGTCTAGCTATACACTTTTGATCAAAAATAAATATCTCTTGACGCCAGACACAGCATTTGGCCTACCCTGAGTTTTCTCACGGTTCTTTTCAGACCCCCACAAACTCACAAACGAGAATTGCTACATATTGGTGCTACTGCTAAACTTGCTCTGCTCACTTCACGACGCAACCTTCAAATCTTATCCTAGAATATTTGAGATGCGTTGCCAGTGGTTGTGTCACCTTCGCCATTGCCCCATTGCCATTTTTAATACTCGGTTACAGGGCATTAGTTTACTCAGTCTCATATAGTTCTGGTCCGCAGATCTTGCTTCGCCTCAGAGCCTTCAGGACTCCTGAAGGTTCAGGAATGTTTTTCCACTGCCGACGCAAAATGTAACCGAAAATTGTCTTGAAATCTCGATGCTTGGTGGCATAAATCATTGGGTTGACACAGCTGTTGAATAACAGCACGACGAACAGGTAAGGCCTGGCTAGAGTATTGCCGTAAAACAGAACCACCGCATAAGGTGTTAAACACAGCATGAAAGCACAGACGACGTAAAACATGTTCTTGGTGATCTCAGTTTGACGACGAAGCAACAGAGAGCGTGGGCCGCTGCCGGGCGTCAAAGTGCAACGGTCCCGCCTTAGTGCAGACTGGGTGTGGTTTGGGGTGCTGTCAGCTAGGGAAGTTGACGCAGTGGTGGGGCTGTATAGGTGATGGGCTCAAGGGGTTCTTCTCTTGTGTAACTGATCATCTTGGTGTGGCGTCTGAGATGTCTCCAGATGAGTACGTAACAGACAATAATAGAGACCAGAAGACTAGGGTACAGTACCCCTGCTACTAGGATTCTGAAGGCTTTGGATCTGGGATGAGATGCAGATGAGCCACACATGTGGTACTTCGGGTCGTACTTGAAGTCACCTAAATTCAGGAATGACGGTAAAAGTGTGAGGAAGAGTGGGATGAGCCACGTTAGCGCCAGCAACATGGCTATATTCTTAGGCGTGTAGACTTTTCGATAGATGATCGCTGGTCGAGTGACCAGGAGCAAGCGGTTAAAGGCGATAGACGCCAGCGACAAAATGCTGCAGCCGATGGAAACGTTCTCCACGACAGCACACACGCTGCACAGCAGCTCGCTAAATGGCAGGCCATCCTTTGCCAGTAAGGCTGCCGCATCAAAGAGGACGGCCAGACATGCCAACAAGTCTGCCGTAGCCAGGTTCACAACGAAGGCATTGGTAGCCGTACGAATCTTCATGGACAGGAGAACGGCTAGGATCACCAGTGAGTTCCCAAATGTCCCAACTAGGGATACGATCAAGATCATGGTGGCGACGATAACCCTGTGGCTGAATTGGCTGAATTCAAATGGCAGGCTATCTGTCGAGTTAAGTACTACTGATGCGTCAGTGTGGACTTCCATTTTCAGGAAAATCCTTAGCCCTCAAGTCATACGTCTCTGCAACAAACCGGCAACACACAAGAAGAAAGCATTAATGTTCTCGATAATCTTGGGTGATGTGTTTTTGATCAGCGGTAGCGGAAGTGTATAAGCTTCAACGTTTTCATCCACAAAGTTTCAGTATGAATTACTTTCGTTTTTCTGCTCGCGTTTTGTATAAATATTCAAGTTTGTTCCGATGAAATTCAAGTTGCAGTCCATGTATATGAGCTGGGTTTATAGAAAGGATGACACTATTTCCTCTCGGCTTCTTGGCAACAACGGCGAACTTCACTACTCCTTGGCAGAGGTTTTCAATCGTTTGAAGATGCTCAAAACCTCATAAATCAATGAATAATGTAGTAATCTTATGCCATCGTTTATAAGAGTGCCAACAATTAGTGTGGGAGATTTGGAAGAATTTTTTAAGATGAGACAATAAATCTCTAGATGACAGGCTCTAACTGGTCTCGAGTTCAGTCCCGTTCTGTCTTAGACAACGTGCAGCAATAAATGTATGGGAAAAATATGGAAAATGGTGCTGTGTTGCCAACTTAAGTTTGCCATATGTGTATGAGCTGGGTTATAGAAAGGATGGCACTATTTCCCGTCGGCTTCTTGGCAACAACGGTGTTCTGTCAAAGTTGTTCTTTCAAAGGGATTATGAGTAGTTGTTTCCTGTTCCCAAACGGATCTCTTTGAATGTTTCTTCTTCATTACTCATAAGTGTGCTTTTTTAACATTATGAACAACAGTTGCTGGAGGAATCGCTTTTGGTTTTCAAAATGGATCTTATTAGTTTTCCTTTCATTTTAGTTTAATATGTTTCCACAGGGTTATATTTCTCACAAAATTCATATGATGACACTGTGCGGTTATGCAACAGGTAGCATTCAATTTGATGAAACGTTTTCCATACTTGATATACAATTTGATATGCTGTCTGTCGAGCCTCGGCCTGAATGTGTGTCAGATGGTTGGCCCAGGCGAACTGTCAGGCCACCTGTTGTATTACTGCCAGAAGGATGCCGTCGACATTAACATGCTGATTTTAATTTATGGTTGAAAAGGTTTTTAAAGGCTTAAAAACTGTGTGCACCGCTGATAAACAACCCCGCTACCGTAGTCTAACCATACGACAAAGGGAGAGGCATATGCATAATGAACACTTACCTCCGGGGAGTGAGAAAAGTTACAGTTGGGTGATTGAGGACTGACATTAGTGAAGGGTTAAGTTAACGCTACAAACAATACCGTTTCATTAATGCCGTCGATTATACGAACAACTTAGCTTGGATAGTGCCAATAATTTACAAGGAATTGTGGTTTATTAACGTCATTAATATTGAGGCTTCTTATTCGTTAAATGCTTTTATCAAGTTTAGCGTAAATGGGCAGACCAGCACGGCATTCGTTTTAAAGTCACCTGACGGATATGTCAATTAGATGAGAATTTTTCGTTTTGAATTGGAACAAAAAAAATGAATAAATCAAGAAACATACGGAGAGTGTCGATGTTATTTCCCAACAATTTTTTTAGTATACTTTATTGGTTTGTGACAATGTATACGAGGGAGGGGTATGTGGATTATGCTGGTCATCAATACTCATCGGTGTAAAGTGACTGGAACTTAATTCTGCTGAGATTTCGTTTGAGTTACAACCACTATCCGCCCTCACCGGCGAAAGAAAGACAGGTCGGTGAGAAGTTTTAGTTTTCCCACCGAGTTCCAGCACGCGTTCGGCGCACACGCGAAGACCACACATTCAAGCATACATGTAAACTCTTTGTGAGTATATTGCTTTAATTTTTTTTTCATGATTCTTGTTTGTTTGTTTGTTTTGTAACGTATGTTTGTTTTATGCTTTTGTCAATCAAAAACACACAGAAAAAACCTCAAAAAAACTTGGTGCGTATATTCGTATAATTACTTTTTACTCATAGGCCTACTGAAAATTTCGTTTGAAGAGTGCATGACGTTGCAGAGGTATTTCATTTAAGAATCATTCCTGTCCTATGACAGTTCAAACACTTTCACTTGCAAGTGTAATGCATTTACTAAATCCAAATACTAAATTATCACACATTTTGTTAGTAGTCTAAACATGATGAAGCAGGTGGAAGAATGTGTAATTTCGTGTTTCAAAATGTATGGTTGTTAAATTAATTGTGCAATGGGTTTGTTCCAGAGAAAACAACTTCAGTCGAACCTGCTTTTGTTTTCAATTTGTAGTTACTTCTATTACCTTGCACCATCAGGATGATGTTTGTTTGTATGGAAAAATAATAGAGGTTTAAAATAAAAGAAAAACCCTGCTCAATTCAGTATTTTCAATCTGTAGACCTTTTCAATTATATATGTTAAATAGTGTTCAATGGCGTAAACATATCACTTTTACTGTGGTAATACTACTAGATACAAGAAAAAAGCAGTTGTCTTACGTATTTGACACTATATTTGCAATGTCTCACTGGATTTAATTGTTGAAGTCTTCATTTTTCCAAAGGTAACATTCTAAGTATCTATTTGATGCATGTCCCATACTACACTTAAAAGGATTTCTTTTTAGAAAAAGAATGTCACTTTGGTTGGATTCCCCCCCCCCCTTTTTGGAGGTGCGCTGCATTAATAGTATTTTTCAAACTAGCGGGCTTTGGCCTTAGCTTTGATGCCTGTGTCTTATCTGTTTTACTCGGTAGCATCTTTTTCTCACTGTAGGGAAGCCACAACGAATATAGACACAAAACACTTCAGTGATCACGAACATTGAATTTAATTCAATTTCATCAAAATATATATATCTTTTTTTTCTCTTATTTGTACATTTCAGGGAAACTATTTTACGTTTAAGTTTACAAACTGGAGCCGCAGTGAGTTTGATAATATACATGGAGCTTATTGTACATCTGTAATAACATCTGTGTAACTGCATACCTTGATGCAGTTTAATTTTAATTGTAATGGAGTTGTGCAAAGTTCAGAAGAGCAGTAATTCCCCAGATATGGAGAACTCAACGTCATGGGCTCAAAGTCTGATTTTCATTTGCCAGAGGATTAAAAAAAAAGACATGGAAAAAACTGCATGATACAGTTCAACTGAAACTATTTGGCTAATGTATTCTGCTTCATAAATGCTAAAAGAGCATAAGATTGACAATAACTGACAGCTATGAATGTAAAAATGGAAAATAATTTTGTAATACAATTAGTGAGTCCCACAGGTAATTTTATTATACTTTAGATGAACAATTGAAAAATTATATTTAATGGAAAAGATATTTTTATTTGCCGTTATTTTCTAAAAAAAAACGTATCTAGTTGGTAAACATTCAACTGGTTCAAGAACTATGTTTACTGGGAAAATGTTCATTTTGAAAATGTTTTATATAAAATTACAAATATCACAACAACTGCTGCCTTTATAGCAAAAATGTAAAAGTTCCACTCTTGAAAGTTTATATGGCGTCATATTTTGCTATTCCATGGGCTCACATTTCACAGAGTATGGGACAATAATTCTCAAATCTATCCTACACTATTCAACAAGACAGTGATTCCTTTGTGCCAAACAGGGAGAATGGAATGACACTTCGGATGAGAAACTCGACAAGAATGTAACACATTTAAGCATCTACAGACAAATGTCTACGCTCTAAAAACCTTCACAGAACTTTTTGTCCACATGAAATAATTAACACTTTTTTGGGTCTCTTTTTATCAAAACTTAACTCCTCTTCAACTCAACCTGTTACAATCTGATCTCAACACAAATGCAAACATTACTTCAATATGAAAAAACACACATTGAAATACAGTGCAGACAACACTAGCAGTGCCACTTCAATTTGAAATGAACGAATACAATGTGATTACCACTAAACTCAATTAGCTGCCAGATGAATTGTGTGTTGCTCTTTCATTGAGATAAAATTTGGATTTATTTAGAATAATGAAACATAAAACTCCATGACCTG